TGGCTGTGATGTTGCCCTTGTTTAGGGCTCTAATCCAGACCACTTGCAAAAAAATAATAATAATGAAAAAAAATTCCACTCCCTTGTCAGGGAGTTGAGGAATCGCAACAAAAACTCTACTGGGACCATTGTGTCTTGGATACTGGCTGAAGCTACAGTATACTGTAGAGAATTGTTTCCACTCAAGGGAGACCGCGCTAAAGCCCTCTCAGCATGAACAAAATCAAGTAAAACGTTCCATAAGCTGGGACAGGAGCCTTTCCACCATTGAAACTGGCTCTCTGAAGTAGCTAAAGTGAGATGCACTGATAGAAATCCGTTGCAGCAGCCCAGGCTAAGCACTTTCTGTAGTACATGGAAGGTGGGCCAATGCCGTAAATACAGTCCTGGATTTAATGTGTGAGCAGGAATAAAATGTATTTGGTTTAGTCCTGGCTGCTCTGGGCTGAGAGCATGCAAAGAAAACGTGGTCACTGAAAATGAGCTAAGTATTTTTTAGATTAAGCCAGGAAAAAAAACCAACAAACTGTGAGAAAGTCAAGCCAATTGCCAGAATCAAGCTAACAAAAGCAAGGGAATTCAGTTTTGAGGCTAAGAATCGAATCTGGTACTCTGGGCTGGGATTTGAAGAGCCACAACACAAAACTCACAGCCCATGGAGAAGTGTGTATGGATGAGATTATGTGAACGTTGAGCCCTCCTGGTCCTGGCTGCTTGGCAGGGGGGGAGGAGGGAAGCTGGAGAGCTTACAGAGTCTCAGGAGCCTGCTAACGTTAAAGTACCTTCCCAAGCCACTGTGCAACATGATGTGCCTCCTACTCCTGTCTTCGGTGCTTTCAGGAGGGGTTGCTACCCTAGTTCCTGCACCAGAAGAATTGTCTCCAGACAGAACTGGAGCTTCTTAAACTTCTTCACCCTACCCTGGCCATCTTACCTGACATATGCCATATTCCTTGTGCATGCAGGATCCATTACTAGTAAAGGATCTAATTTTACCATTATGTTTTTTTTCTATTGTTACAGTTGTATAACTCCCTAATCTATTACTTAAGCACGTACATGAAGTGCTCCTGGTTGCTCTGAGCTTGTATTCAATTCTTTAAGTTTCAGGACTGTTTATTCATTCTGCATTGGAGGGGCATTAGATAAATTGCATGAGCAGTCTTGATTCAAAGGACTGGAACCCCAAACTCACTGTTCCAGGGGACTGCATTTGTCACTAAGCTACACCTCGTGCTTCCTCTTTCTCTAACCCTATGAATCATGTATTCTTGGCTGCACTGTGGCACTGATTCAACAGCAGGTTGAAGAGTATCTCCACCCAACCGTAGCCTGGAAGTTAGAGTATTCTCCTGGGAGTTGAGAGATATTTGCTTAAATCCAGTCAGGCTGAGGAGGGCCCAGAACCCAGATCTCCCACTTGAACTGTTATACAAAAGATGAGCAAAACCAGCTCCTCCCCCTTCGGCTGTGCTTTTTAATGAAAATGGCCCCAACTGCTGTGCTTTGTGCTGAGCTCAGCACTGTCGGGGTGTATTGGGCATGCTCAGGACACACGTATTAGACTGGGTTGGCCACTGGTCTGTGAATCCCAAATAGATTTAGATGGGCATGAGTTAATTAGTCTGGGTGCAGTACTGTGCTAACACAGCTATACCATTCTTGGTTCCAGAGCTTGCACATGGAGAGCTTCCATGGACACCTCTGCATGAGTTCTGCCTTGTACAGCCTAGAAATAAATCCCCTTAGTGCCTCTTTGGGATGTCAGCTTGGACCTTGACAACTATGCAGGCTGTAGAGAATTAAGGTCCTTCTATGCGGCAGTCTTAGGTCTGAGTACATCAGGCAAAAAAGTATGAGGTGTCCAATTTTATTCCCCAATTTTCACTTAAAACTAAGCAAATGATTTTGATTCAGGGTGATGAGATAAGAATTTGGCTTCTTCACTTTGAGGAACAAAATGTCTGTAATTTGAACACTACAGAAGAAACCAGAATTTCTAAATTTGATAAAAGAAAATCCAGTCTTTAATCCAAGAGTCTACCTTAAAAATTACCAAACCATTTTCCTTCTGAAAATCTCATGGAAGCAAAAATAAACACCTCCAATTGTTTCTGCAATGTATTTCTTTTCAGCAAGTTCAGGCTGGAACAAATTTTTACGGTTAAGCTAAAAATAGGGACTGGTGAGCAATGTGGAAAGGAAGTGTTTTGAATCTTGCAAAGATTATTTTGGGCTTTGCAAGATTCTTAAAACCAGGTCCGATTTGCAAGCTTTATTCTCCTGAACATTAAACAGAAACCTTTTCTGCAGTAGTGATTTAATTATTTTTAAACATTTATTTTTCTTAGTTGGGGGAAGCTAGAGGAATATAAAAATAGTCCCAAAATGTAGTTTGGCACAACTGGGTTCCCTGTGCAGGGAATTAACACTGCATGTCTACTTTCTTGAGAACTGTATTCAGTGAATTTTTATTCACTGTTTCTTTTTTTTTTTCCACTGTTCTTATTGATTTTTTACCTTCATTTTAACAGTGGATTTTTTTTCTGCTTATTTTGCTCCTAACCAGCAGTTGAAACCAAGAGTGTTTAAATCAAGCTATCCAATCCCCATAATGGAGAGGTTTCAAATATAGGCAAAAGGGATTCATTCAACACATCTCAAAAATCTTTGGCAGCATTTCTATATCAAAAGTGTTAATCTTCCTATAGGCAGGCACTATTATAATGCTGGTTCTCTGGCACGGTGCAGCTGAATAGCAAAAGTAGAGCTTTCCTTGTTTTTCAAGGCAGAAGGCACTTAAATCCACATGGCTTTCTTAAACCCACATACTATTACAGATACTTTTCAAAAACAGCTGCTTCCCAAAAAGGCATAGTTTGCAGAGTCTAGGCAATGTTTATACACACAAAGGTAAATTTTCATTCCATATTACATGGCAAATATTCTATAATTCCTTCATAATAAGAGCAAAAAACAAATGAATGTAAAGCCTCTAAATGTTGCATAAAATGTAAAATATATTTGTGCCAGAACAACTTGACATTGACACTTCCAGAAACCCTGTCGTATGCATGGGGAAGTATATCAGCAACAGGACCTTCAAACAGGCAAGTTAATGAAAGCAAAAGAACAATCTGAACTTCATTATACAACTTTACTAAATGTTCCCCTGTTTCTCCTTACCCTGAATAGTGAAAGCAATTTGTTCTCAACAGCAGAAATGTGCTCTGGGTATATATTGCTTCCCATCTGCCACAGGAAGAGCTAGAAAGAAATTGAGGGTTCACAAGCAGTTTGCACACAGTAACAAAAGTTTCCCCTGGAAAGACTGATTCATGGTTTTTTTTTAATTATAAAACTTTCAAGTCTGAGTTGCAAATTCCCAGTGATGGTAAAGGAATTTACCCACCAAGTAGAACAAACATTGCATTCTTGCTGTATCACATCTCACAGTTATATATCAAAAACTTCTTGCTGCTTTTAAGCATTCTCAGTCCCTTTATAAGCACATTGGGCTCTCATCCTCAAAACACCATTTCACAATACTTGCTTCACTTAAGTGAATGTGATTTTTGCTTTTGACCTCAGTGGAGAAATGATTTCACCATAGGCTACTTCAGGTTCCAACACTTTCTTCCCTACATCAGAAAGCTAAATCACCACCTTGGTCTATCCAAAAGGCCTATCTATTTTTTATCTAATTCTAAGAAAATACATCTAATTCAACCTAATTTCCTGCAGCCAGAACAGTAAAGGCCATGAACAGCTTAATAAGGTAAAATAAAAGCTCTTGGCTTCAGCTATTGAATACAGTAATTTCTCCCTAGGGTCCAATCTAACCCAAAACAACTCCCATAACTGCTGGCTCAGTGAAACACCCTAAGTCTCCTGGGTTTCACAGCTATGGATGCTGATTACAATTGTGAGAAGGAAACAGTTACTCTCCAACAGCTATGGAACAGCTAATTAGCAGCTGCCCATAGTACTGTAACCAAGAGTGGAGCCTCTCTCTGTGGTCAGCTCCTTTACTAGGTGGTAATCAGTAGGGGCATGCAAAGCAGGCCCCATTTGATTCAGATTCAGGCCAAATCAGGGACAGTGATTCGATTCATTGATTTGGATCACTGTCCCTGATTCGATTCATCTGAATCAGAATCTGAAGATTCGATGCTGATTCACAGAATCAGCAATTCAGCCACAGACACAGCTTTAAATGTTTTTCTACATACCTTGAGGTACCAGACATGGCTTGTGCAGGGGGGGCCCTCCATGTGCTTGGCAGTGAACCCAGAAGTGGACTGAAAGTACTTCCAGTCCACTTCTGGGTCTGCCGGGGAGCACACTGGGGGCCCTCTGTACGCCCCCTGGCTCAGTGATCTGGGGGCAGGGGTCCCCAGGTGCTCCCCCCCAAACCCAGGAGGCACCAATTGCCAAGCCAGAGGAGGGGGTGGGGGGCAGACCCAGAAGTGGACCAAAAGTGCTTCTTGATCACTTCAGGGTCTGCTGCCAAGGGCACTGGGGAGCCCCCCACGTTTCTGTGGGACACTGCATGCACCCCAGCATCACAGCATTCATGAGCCCCTGCTATCTAGAGGTATGTAGAAAAAAACATTTAAAGCTGTCTCTGTGTCCGAATCTCCGAATCTTTCCGAATTGATCTGGAGGGTTCCGATTCAATTTGGAGAGATTAAAGGGTCTGCTGATTCGATTTAGATTCGGAGATTCGGCCACCAAAGCAGGCCAAATCTCTGCCAAATTGAATCAGGGACCGAAGCTTCTCACAGCGCTAGTAATCAGGCCCTGGTAATGATCTCTTTGGGAGACGAATCAGCACGCTCAAAGCTACTTAATGCAAGGACAAGTTTATTGTACTGTTATATTACATATAGAAGATACTCCTGAGATGGAAAAAAGCTCCCTAGATCATGTGGGAATTCAAAATTCTCCCTGACACTGTGGAAAGGATTTTAAAAGCGTTTTAATATGAAGACTGTTAATGTAAGGTAGTGCACCACCCTTCTCTCCTTCAAGCAAACTATTCTTTTTAGGATCATCAGGAAAATATGGGGGTAGTCAATCAATCAGAAAGGCTTAACACTCTTCTTAACCTTCTCACACTCAATACTCAACCTTCTCACACTCCTCTATACCTTCAATACTTTGGAGAACATCTCCACGTAGGGACAATTTTCAATTATGCCTCTTTTTTTCAGTGCTATTTGAGTAAATGGGACACCACAGGGATGTTCTTTGTTCATGTGCGCACCAATGTAACTTGGGACCTCATCTATCATACCGAATGTAAAGTCACTGAGGTGATACTGATAAAAACACTTGATTCTATGAGGTGCTGAGCTACCTCAACTGCCATACACCTCAACAGGAATCAGAAATAATCAGTGTCTATCTGGACTGAGCTCTAAGTGAGATGAGAAAAAGACTTTTCATGTAATATCTAGTAATGAGAAGTTACCCCGTTTGAGACTAGAAAGTCGAGTTCTTTTCTAGTTCAAAAATACTTGGAAGGCCTACAAAATGCTTGCTAAGGATGCAACCATCACACAGCATTTCATCTTGGTCGGTGCTAGACTTTTCAACCAAGAAAATAGACTGATGGGTCATTGGTACCATAAAAACAACTAACTTGCTAGCTGGCATCATAATACTGATGCCATCCTATTTTTTTTTCCCTCTCAATTTAGAATCAAATTTATTTTTGGAAGCTTAATTTACAATATTTTTAGCAAGTATATTTCTGGTTACAGTATAGAAAATATAGATTTAATAGATTTCATAGACATTAGGGCTGGAAGGGACCTTGGGAGATCATTGAATCCAGCCCCCTGCCCCCCGCCCCAAAGGCAGGAAGTCAGCTAGGGTCAAAGGATCCCAGCAAGATAAGCGTCCAAATGCCTCTTAAAAGGAATCCAGAGAAGGTGCTTGCATCACCTCTGGAGGGAACCTATTCCAGGCCTTGGGGGCTCGGACAGTAAAGAAGTTTTTCCTTATGTCCAGCCTAAAATGGTCTTGGAGGAGTTTGTGACTGTTGGTCCTTGTCATCCCTTGGGGCACTCTGGTGAACAAACATTCCCCCAGATCCTGATGCCCACCCCTGATGTACTTATAGGCTGCCAACAGGTCACCCCTGAGCCTGCACTTTTCCAGGCTGAAGAGTCCCATGTCTCTCAGCCTCTCTTCATAAGGTCTATTTTCTTCTTATACTTTCTTCTTTAGAAAGTATAAGGAGAAAATAGGCCTTATTTATTTATCTGTTAAATAAATATACAAATATATCAAGAGTGCTCTGAAAAAAAGCCTAACCTAATAGTAAAAAAATCAACCCAGTACAAACACTTGTTATATTACATACACAAAATGATAATCTAGGCTTGAAACTATAATGCAAATTAACTAATTGCACATACGTCACATGACATGATTTAGAATGAATCACTGTAGCAGTATAAAAGAAGGCTTTTGCATAAGAATTTAGGCATTACCTTATCTAAAGAACTCAGAAGGTGACAACCAGTATTGTCTATGCAATAACTACTGAATGTAAGATGGAGTAATCAACAGAAGACATGGCAGATACTCCACCCAACATCAACCTGGGTTGTAACATACCAAAGCCTGAACTCAGAAAGAACTATGCTTTGAGACAATGAGAGAACTACCCCCTTTCAGTAGTGGCCTGTTCAATTGGGGGTGAATAGGTCTTTCCCTGGGGCTCTGCACTCCTGTGAATTATAGCCACTATGCCAGTTTAACTGTATCCTTCAAGAGATCATGCTGATTTAGAATTACTAATGGAAAGACTGTTTCAAAATACTATTTGAATGAAAAAAAAAAATCAATGCATGAAATAAACAAAAACGTACCACATAACTCAGTGATATAAGAGGTTATGAGAAGTGATGAGAAAAATGGATTAAATTTACTGATCATGTCAACAGCTGTAACTCCACTGACCTCAACGTGGTGCAACATATTCAGCCTATGAGCATCAACATATGGCAGCATACAGATGAAACATATCACTACACATGGAATCAGCACATGGCCTATGCACCACACAAACCCTGTCCATGAGACTTAAGCAATACTTGTGCTGGCCACTCTGTATGGGGGTGAGCCTAACCCTTGCTGATCTGCCTAAGAATAGGAAGAAGGGTGCAGTATGTCATAAGCAAACATTTAGAGAATGGTTTGCAATAAAAAAAAAATCACAGCCACAGTAATCTGGCAGGTTGTAGTGCCAATAAAGCTTATTACCATAGTCAAAGCCAATACCCAAATTGTCTAATAATATCTTTACCGACAAAAGTTTCTTTAGAAAAAGAAATAGGACTATAGCTGAGCACTTTTAAGTGAAATAAGAGATTTATAGCCAGACAAAGCATAAATATCCTAATTGGTTTTGTACCTGATGGTTGTTTTTGATTAATATTACTTTTGAGCACAATTCACTCCTTATTTTTTCCTTGACAATGGTGTTGAAAACAGGCTGTTAATGGCAGTTGGACTGCACTGACTGCATATTTGCACAAAGAAACATACTGTACTGTATAGCATCTTAGCTTAAAACAAATACTTTACATAAATGGGCATACAAAGGGGAAAAAATTAAAACATGTGGCAATGCAGCTGCAGCTATTCTATGTTGTTAGAGTTGTCTGCTTTCAATTCCTTTGATCTTTTGGAGATTTCCAACTTCTTGTTCCAACAAGTGAACAATATTTCTTTTGGCATTTTTAATAAACAGAATTTAAAAAAAAAAAGATGGATGAAGTGGAATTCACAGTAGAAAAGAACATCACATAAATTTAATTTGGCTTTTAAAAATATCAGCAAAATGGTGCAACATGCAATAATTATGCCAAAAAACAAGCTGTGTGTTAGACTCAGCGCCTCAAAATAAAAATTGTGTACAGGGAGAGATACAGCCCTATTGCACAGGAAACAAAACACTGCCTATCTTCTTTGATCCTTTCCTATTGCTGGATTTCTAAATGGGTGTTTCAGCTGGGGTCGCTGCATTTATTTATCATCCTAACAAACAAAGCGCATTAAAAAAAACATACTGAAACTATGATCAATGGGGAAGAGCAATACAGCTTCAAAACTGAAGAAACTCCACAGATCGTTAAAGATAAAAAGTATAGAAGTTTATTATGTATCAACTCAAGTTTTCATGTCTCCATTTCCACCCCCACTTCCTAATAAGAATTATTGGCATTGCATGTCCGTGGATTTTTAGAAATGAAGAGATAAATAAGCTTTGGGGTTCTCTCATTACATATCATAACATGCCACAGTTTGCCTCAAGCAACAGCAACTCTGGAATTCACTGACCAAACTTTTCAGAGCCACGAGGCAATTTTGAAGGATTCTAGTGTTATAGAATCTTTTATGGGTCTTTTCCTTTAACCTTTTTTTTCTCTAAGTATTTCTTCCTCACTTATGCTTCTACCATGATAAATGTAATACCATAAATGCCTCTAAGTTGAAGTGACTACATATTTCCATAGCTTCACTCAGTGAAGGTATTACAACTGGGGAAAACATCATATAAACTTCCATCCCTCATAACACACAACAGAAGATGAGCATCCTCCTGGTAGGAACTGGAATCTGCAAGATTTATGCATGGCTCAGGGGCTTAGTTAAGAAAGCATTGTCAATTTTATAACTTGGACATGATTTTTTAAAATGTAAAAAGAAGCAGGAAATGTATGCTTAATTATGCTCAAAATAGATCAGTAGCACAGTGCATCTGTGGGTTCCAGTCCCAGTTCCATAAGAATTTGACTTCCCCAACTCTTGATCTACAAGATTGCCCACCATTATTACACCCCAGTCTTCGTGTCAGCCTCTTGATTTTGTGTTTCGTCAGTGGTCAGGAATTCATCACATTGTCCCGTTCGGTCATTTGACTGTTCTTTATGCACCAAATGCACCATTTCTTGAGACCTGCTGGCTTCTCCATTCAGTCCACCTATCTTCTTGTCCTCCACTGCCCCTTTGCCATTGTTAATCACTAGTTTCTTCTTCTGTCCACATCTAGCAAAAAAATAAAGACAAATGGAGATTATGATACTAGGAAGTACAAAACACTGACTGCATATTTTTGGAAAGTGTTCACAGGAAGCAAAGAACTTGAATCTGCCAGTGGAGACATATACAATGCAGTAGGTAAGGCTGCGAAAGATAAAAGGTTTCTCAGGGGTGAGTTATAAAGGCTCTTATTGCCCTTTTTCTCCTTATATGAACCTAGATGGAAGCCCAGAGCTTTCAAGTATATCATCCTTCATGTATAGCTAATTTATTACAAGCGAGAGAGATGGATCCAAACAAAATCTGGCCCTTGGCTTGAATTCCTAAGATTCTTAAACTTTCAAAACGTCTGTAAATTTGGGTTAAGGCCCATCTCTAGTAATCTAAGAGGACTGCTTAATTTTTCTGTTTAGTTTGCCAGGACTGAACCAAGTGAACAGCTTAGGGTTATAACTCCACTGTCAACAGTTCAGATCATTAAAACAGTAGAAGGTGGAAAATAATTATGCTGTGGTGATAGAATAATAAAGCTATCTATGCAGATCTATTACCAGTCTGGGATGCCCCATCACACTAATTCATCTTTTTGGCAATGTTGCATTGAGGAGGCGACCTTCCACCTCTGCACAGCCAAATATAGGTCATTAAAATGGACAAAAAATATTCCTTAAATAGCTACTGTGTTTGTGCAGATGTACTTTAAAATGTTTCCTGCTTTGCTTAAGCAAATTCTGTCCAAATTACTAATTTGGCAGTTAAATAGTTTTGCTACTATCCCTTGGAATCAAGCATATTTTGTATCAGCAGACTGACATATGACAGCTGTTTTAGCCAAAGTGACCGCCAGTAAACCTGCCTTGTCTCAATCCACCATGTTTACTTTATGTAGCATAATGGAACAAATCTTGCCCTGGCTTACACAGAAGAACGAGAGAGAGAATACTGTACAGTAAGTCATTCACACAGCTTAGAAGACAGAACAGAACAGTGCCCAAACTGCACTGTACTTTTCCAGAACTGTGAAGGCAAGGTCTTAAAGATGAACATTTTGCAAGAAGCTATGTAGATTGGAAGGCAGATTTCTCATGTTATAAAAAAAGTCCTTCTTGTGGAGTGCTGAAAATCATGCAGGGCCATGGGCTACAGATTTTTAAACATGTAACTCATTCAAGAGCTGGGGAAAAAGGGAAAAAGACTGAAGTAATACAACCAAGCTATTTGGCACCCACCAAAAAGATTCCCTTGTTTGGCTGGGATTTCTAGACCATCCTGTAGTACACTGGCCTTACAACTAGAAAGACTAAGCCTACCGAGCATAGACTCAAAGATTTAAATGTCATACTACCAGATTAAAGATTTCTCATGAAAACTGGATTCGGTATACAATTCCCGGGCCCATTCTACCTGGCTCATACAAGAGGAGAACTAGAAAATTGTATGCTTGGTTTATTTAAAAAGTCGTGCGACTATTGGGAAACCTCACAACCTAACTAGCCACTTATGGGTGAAATCCTTCTTAATTCTACATATATCTACAATTCTACACATACATATATGTGTGTGCATACACAGTTTGCTTACAGCACCCTCAGATTACTTATTTTGTTTCTTATCAACAATCTAACAACAAAGCTCCTGTGATGGTGTCATAAATGATTAGTTTAATGAAACTAAGATTCCACAACATATATCCTCTGGCACATATAATATAATAAATTCTCTGGTATGTTAATGATGCAGCATGGCACTAAATAGTTAAAAATCAACTGGCACTTCTCAAAGTAGATGAAAAAAAAATTAATTCTTGATTTAACAACCCACTTTCTTCAGCACCTGTGCTTGTTCACTTGGGGCCTGAGTAGCAACAGAGTAGAAAATGATCAGGCCTCTAACTTCTCACTTTATAAAATTCTCTTTGGGGTCATTAGTACATATTAGGGTTTAATTCACATGTACCTAGACACAGGCAAAGATATAACCCAATGCTGTATGTGTCGTTTAACTCCAAGTCAAAAATATGTTTTCAATTAACAAGATGTAATCCATAATTTATAGCTTCCAGATACTGTCTGACCAGAAATGAAACAATCTGCATTTAATCATAACTGGTTCTGTTTGTCTGTTTCTATGGTGATCTGGGGGCAAAAAAAAAGCAGGCTTGACTTTAATAAACATAGCAAAATGACAAATGAATCAATAAACCATAACATTCACACTGTAATTCCTGGATCACTTAACAAGAGGGATGTAATTGGTATTTTAGAGAATGACAGTTAACATGAATGTAGTCATATGGACAGGAGCTGGTGGAAATCAGGATATCTTTGTTGATCTCAGTATATCAGCTGAGGCTCTGGCCCTTGGACTGCAGTCTCCATTCATCCATTTTGGGTACTGAAATGCCAGAAAAGCCTGCTATAGAGAAGGAAGATTCTTTCCCTCAACTTTAATTTCCACTAGTCTCCTACAGGTAAAGTCACATGCCAATGACCAGCCTGATCTTATCTCCTGTCCATTAAATAGCTCACCCTTTTGGGGGCATACTAGCCCCCCTGTTAGAGATGAGGTAATGATATCTTTCCAGCAACTATAAGGCTCAGTATAAACTAGGGTTTATACCTCAGGGTTTGCCCTGGATGTCAGCTCTGCTTGTTACATCACTACCTAGCTCTTTCATAGACTTCCTTCACCTCTCTCAGTTTCACCAGGTCTGAAGCCTCACAGTGCTGTTACAAGGATATTTTGATTAATGTTTATAAAGCAGTTTGAGATCCTCATACAGAACATGGTGCAGAAAGGGAAGCTTCAGCAACAATGTTTTTTTGTTGACACTGTCAAACAATTTCTTGAGTATTAAAATTTTCCTCTTCATTTTTCTTTCCACTAATCTTAAATCAAAGGTCAAAACTGCAGCTTACTCCAGCCAAAGCCAAAAATACCCTCCTCTTCTTCCTCCCCTTAATCTTTTACTCAATTCTTTCATCAACTCAAAGTCTTTCCCACCATCTCTCACAGGCTTTACAGTAGGCTCCTTTTGTAGTCTGCAGAAAGGGATGGTGACCTGATTCTCCACAGCTGATCCTCACAGTCCTGCTGCTTGCAGGTCCCTCCCTACATTACTAACAACTGTGATCCTTCCTCTACTTAGAGGGAGCAGGTGAATTTTGTCTCTGCATCCTTCTAGATGGAAGCTATAGAGAGACTACCACAAATAGTAGTTGTACTCTTTTACGTAATATACTACCACATGGTGTAATGTTACTTAATTAATCTGGTGATTACCTTGTCAGTGTTTCTGCCCTTCTCTACGTAACATATTTCATTGAGCTCAGAGGGAACAGCAGCAGGCCATTAGCAAAGAATAGGTAGAGCCAGGTTTTTCCTTCTCTATGTGTGCAACTTAATTTTGTGTCAGTGAGCAAATGAAGAACTGAGGATCCACTCACTAATTTCATGTGGCTTCTCATGAGTACCCAGGTTCACCTACACATAGCTCAAGGCAGAACTGGGGCATCAGATAAAAACTGTTTATCCAAAAAAGAAGGGATACACTATTTACTGAGGATCATTATGGTAGGAGTTTTTCTCTGTTGTACAACCACAGTACGTATGTTATGAAGCTCCCAGGAATCTTCAGACTCACAGCAGTAAAAGCAGGAAAGCAATATGTTCCAAAGCAATGATGACCAAAGATACAAAGGGGCTTCCTTACCTTCTCCGACTGTTGACAGCAATGCAGACTGCAAGAATCAATATCAGAGCCACAAGCGCAGCAACAATGATCAGCCAATCTGTGGGTAGAATTGAGGAATAATATGGCCACTTAAATTTAGCCTTAACTTTTTTGTTTTGCATGATGGTACTTTTACATTCATTCACACTTCTCCCAGTGACAGACCTTTTCTAATATAAAAGAATGAAAGGGTATAGGCAGACCTAGCAATTACACTCATATCAAATGACATTACTAAAACAGGCTATGATGCACCTGTTACATATCCATGCTCCTATAGAGATACAAGTGTACTAAAAGTGTTGCAACTCTATCCCTATTCATTCAGGGTTAAACTTATAGTGATTTAACACCAGCATGTCCCTTTAGGAGCATCCAGACATAACAGTTTCATTGAAACAGCTGACACATGCTGCCTAGCAAGAACTTTTCCTCCCCTTTTAAAGCAGTTGCATCTGTCCAGAGCTTTAGTTTGTTTTCAAAGCTACCTGTCATGTACGCCCACACATTATTGAAATGTGAAGTACTGTGATTTTAAATATTTTTATGGAAGCACTTGAATTTTCATTGTGCTGGGCATGATATAATGGAGATACTGTAGTCAAGCAATAGTTCCTAGAGTCCTATCTTCACTATTGCAAATCTCCCATGTGTTCCAATACATGTTTGTTAAAGTTTAGGAAAGATGGCAATCAGTAATAATCATACATTGGTAGTAATAAATAAATAGTATACATTTCTATAATAAATATTTCAGTCCCTTATTTTTATTATTCTGTGCTCAGGATCTCAAAGACAATGACTTCAGAAACCAACCTGGTATCTTTGCTGTTCTTGGTTGTGAAATTACTACTTTTGTTGTGGACTGCCCAGGAAAAGAAGTTACATCCATAACTCCTACGTGTGGTCCTCTGCGGCCAGATCTATTAGTTGTAGAGCCTAGAAAAAAATCCATCTATTATGCACAACAAGTTAGAAATATATTGAATTACTAAGCACCGACTTGTCCATTTAGAATTAAATATACATCACTACAAATCTCAGGTATGTTTTCAGAAAGAAGGAATTTAAACTACAAAATATACGCTAAAGTAATATAAAAAAAATTATGCAGACCCCACCTCATAAAAGTACTTTCCCATTTGGTCCAAGTAAGAGTAGCATTGGTTCTATGAACCACATGATTGAGTTTCTCCATGACATTCACTGACATGTTTTTGGTAGATTTCATTTTTGATCTTTCTATACTGTAATGGCTTAAATGCAATGAGAGATGGTTTTAAATTTTTCAGGAAAAATGAAAAAATGAATTGATAAACTTGTTGCCAGGAATATTTCTGAGGTCCAAAGTGGAATGTCTGGTCAATCCCAAAGAGAAAAAGAAAGACCAAAGGAAAACTTCACTATTTAGATCTGCAAATAGCCATTTCATCACAAGTCCATTATACAAGGATAGTTTCTTTTTTTGATGGGTTTTATTTTCTAATGCAGAACAAAATCAAATTTCAAAACTTTAACATTTTTCGTGAAACAGATTTTTGCTTTCTGGTCAGAATTAAATGTGATAGCCACTTCATGAACTGGGCTCTTAAACATCAGGATGTGGTTCCTAATGGGGATAAGGTTTTCTGTACTCTTACATGTAAATCTCTCTGTCTTTATGTCAACTAATGTACCCATGGCAACTTTTTAGCTAACCAAGGACTCACTGGGACTCAGTCATTAATCAGGTAGGTGGTATACTGTTGAGTGAAGCATAAATGCTCTTCAGTGAAGCCAGGCAGGTTGCACTTTCAGCAGTTTCAGACTCATCCATCCATCTGGTGAGCTGGAGAACTGCTGGATGGACCTTGCTTCCAGCTAAAGGTCTGAGGGCGAGTTTCATGGTTTCACGAGTCAGGCAAATGGCAGTATACTGGCCAGCCTATGTGTATAATATGTGCCATATCACCATTTTGAATTGTCCTTGGTTAGCTAAAGCAGCATGTAAGGGCACAAACAACATGTGGCAATGTGAACTGACCACGTAACAGAGACAAGGACAAAGGATGAGGTGTGGGGCAGGTGCTCTTTTGTGCAAAACAGGACCATTATCAACTCAGTTTCCTTAGTTTTATACAAAGTGATTCTTTCAGACATTACAGGACACTATTTGGCTGTTGATATAGTTCAAATCTGCAAAAGTGGCAGGTCTCAGAAGCAAAAGCCCTGAGAGACATATAAAACCATTAGGTTGGGAGGTAGTATTACGTCTGCAGTCCAGACTTACCCCCAGTCTGTCCTATTTCTCATAAACTAGCACTCAACTGGGCCATGCCACAACCAACTTTATTCTTGATTAAAGTAGCATCTCTGGCCTCCTCTATTCTGCAGAGAAACAGTTAGCCATGTTCATGTGAAGGCAAGTAACAGGCAGGATAGCTTTGCACTTTATAAACTAATCAAAGTAGATTATATATATAATTATATACATGTGTGTGCATATATAGCACACATCCATGTGCTGAAACTCATTTTATCAGATGCTGGAATTTCAGCCTATAAAAGTTGTGCTATACTGTATATATATCTACTTCACTTAATCTGTAAAGTGTAAATCTACCCTACCCTCCTCTATTTGCATACTGGTACCAATTCCAGTCAAGATAAAATTTAGCCAATAAAATTATCTTTGTGGCCTATTAAATAGATCATGTCATTCCCTTCTCCTTTCCCAGCCCCCATTTTCAATCCCACCACATGCTTCACTGAAATGTATTTTCCTTGCTCTTCAAGGTGCTTCACAACTTCTCTGTGGCCAGAATCTTTGACCTCATTCCCTAATGATAGCTGCCAAATGGAAAAACTAGGCAGTATATTTTTCTACTGTTGAATTCAGCCACAGAGCAGTTTGAAAATTGTCCGGAAACTCATTGACTGATGCGCTGCTTCATGCTACCCCCCAGGAAATTCATAGATCAATACTGATGGCTGAGCACTGAAATTAGCAGCTGGGAGATTTCATTTAGTTTCCAAAAACACAGACAAAGATTAACATACTATTATATTGGCTTATGTACCATGCAGACTTGAAGGGATTTTGCGAAGGATACTTGTAATGTTTTCCAGGAGGGAAGGCAACACAATTCTCCATCCATAAAGCCCCAAGGAACTCAATGGTTATATATTGCTCAGTAAATATTTACCAAAGATTTTGACTGTACTATTACCAACACTTAAAACATTCACAAGGCCCAGGATTAATGGGTCCAAAAGTGGATGGGGGGCGGCTAGAGCTTCTGTGATATTCATCTTATAGCAACATTTTACTATTCCTTTCTTATGAGAGTTTTGCATTTGTATTTTTGAAATGCATTGTTTCACTTTCCTGCTAACGTCTTTTGGGCAAAAGATCAGTCATTTTTATGATGTCAGCTCACAGCTGTACATAACTGTAGAGAAAAAGCAGACAAAAGCAGGAGACACAGCTGACTGAGCAAAGAGTTTCCTCAGAATAGACCTTCAAATACGTTCTATTATTATGTGAAGCAATCTTTCTTTTTCATTCAATTCATGATACACAGGACACATCTTGCAAACAAACGAACCCCCAAAGTAGAAGCCGATTCCCCATAGTAATACACACGAAACCCACTGTTCTGCTATGATACAGCCATTGCTAAGAAAAAGATGGACTTATTTTTTCAAGCCTCCCCACCAACTTTTTATAGGGCCTTGTTGACGTCATGACACTGACACTGCAAAACAGCTTTTCATCATGAAAATGACATCCCCTCTGACTTTTTACAGGTTGTACACATTCAGAAAAGCAGTTTAACTATATCTTCTACCTAGGGTCTGATATCTGAATAGTACATTAGGAAGTCAGGGAGAACAGGGAACTAGAAAACAAGAGACATGAGTGAGTTACATACTGAATCATTATAAATAGATAACGAAGTATCATTTATAGAATATGTCTATGTTAAATTTATATTTATAGTGTCTCTTTTAAAGATCTTTCCCTCTAAAGGTTTATTCTGTTTTGGTTTATTTCATTGCGTTGCATGCATATTGTTTTTTCATTAAAATCTGAATAAGACTGACAACCATTTCTGATCTCATTTATGCCAAGACAAATTAAGAGTGACCAAAGTCAATGTAGTAACATGTGAGTTAAACTGGTGCAAAAGGATAGTATGTTTAAAGTTTCCCAGCTAGACACCATGGCCGGGCATCACTGCTATAGAAGAAATCTACTTCAATCAATTAGTTGATTGAAGTAGACTGATTCAGGCTCTTTTGAAAATCAAATTAAAAAGGAGTTTATTAGAGGCAAATTCTGACTCTCTTTAATTTTTATGTTTTATAGACTCTCTTGTAACATTGCTGTGAAGGATGCTGTATGTATAAATTTTCATATTCCTTGTTACATGCAAAAAATAACCACAGATTGGCTGTGAATTAGATTCTATGAGACACGACTCCATTGACTTCCACAAAGTTATGACAGCAGAGATTTTGGCTGAGCATGTGTGAAAAGAAATAACATTTAGAAAAATCCTAGTCTTTGGGTTGATAATTTACATGAAAAGTACCTTTGGTTCTAAGAAAAAGTCCCTAATTTTCCCATGAATATGTTTTCATGTTGCAACATGGTTGTGTTCATGGATGTGATCCATGTATTTTTTCACATTCTCATGTCCAAAACCAGCTTTTAAAACAGAAGCTGCTGACAGTTGTAAAGCTTGTTATCTCCAAGTATACAGAGAGGGAAATAATTAAAAACAGGTTACCCAACAACAAACATTACAAAGGGAAAAATGTTATAGTGAAGATTAACTTCCTTGATGTGTTCACAGTATAAGGACAGAGAAAAAGAGATAGATGGATGTCATTTTGTTAGCTTTCAAAACAGCTATTGTTGGAGGGTGAATAAAATGAACTGAGTAGAAAGACAGAATAAGAAAGCAGAAAGATGGTATTAGCCTCTCAAAAAAGTATAGTAGCCAGTATTTACCATACTGTCTGTGCCACCACAGGCAGACAAAAGTAATTGTAATCATGTCTTATAATATATGCATTTGTATGAAGTTTTTGAGACGATGCCATAATTGCTGAAAAGAAGAAATGCTACTAAAGTCTTGCCAAAAGAATTCTTGGAAACACTCATTTTAAATCATCTCACTCATAATAAATTAAAAAAGAACTAAATACTTTCTTGTCATGTACTTTGCTAACCAAACCAAACCAAACCAAACCAAACCATGCTTGCCCTGTGCTGAGCACAACTTTCCTCCCCAAATTTTATAAATGTAGGTACACAAATACAGTCCAAGACAATCAGGAAAAATCAAGGAGTAGGGTAAATGATTGAAAGTTGTTGTTCTTACTGGTAGTTGGAGGGGTGGGTTTTCTGCCAGGATCTCTTTCAATTTCGGGAAAAAGATTAGGTATCACAGTAGGCCTTGTATTCTTTGTGGGATATATGTCTTCCTTATCCCTTCCAGGTGTCAGTGGCTCTTGGGTTGAAGCTTCATATTTGGAACCATCAGTGGAATCCACAACTGTTACAATTATGTTTGAAGCAATTTTAAACTTAAAATCTAAAGAACTACCACTCACATTTTTTTCCTTCCTCACTTATAGAACAGACAGATATCTTTCAAATGTTGGTAACATTACAGCAAAACAGGAAAGGCTTTTCCATTTTCTTTCACATTCACATTGTTATTTCAACTTTTTAGGCAACTCCCTCCTACTGATTCTCAGGGTACTGGTGTCAGCCAGAAGACAAGTAATAGTTACAATAGACCCAGAAGAATAGCCATCAAAAGAGCAGGAAGCAGCAACCACTTAACCCTGTAGCTCAGGACTGATGACATGCTACACATTGGAATGACATCTACAAATTGGGAAATTATTTCCTATATTGATATTTCAGTGATTCATTTCGTAACAGAATTTCCATGATACTCTTAAGAACAAGTTTTAGTGGATGAAAGGTACATAAATAAAAGAGCATAAGAAAAGTTGGAATGAAAAATTCCTAACATTGCAATTATTGTAACATTTCCTTTCCCTCATTATTCACATGGTGCTCTAGAGTAAAGAGGTTGCTGCTAAGCCACAGGCATTAGCTATCCAATCACTGCTGCTACACCGTACCGAAAACATGACCCCTGCACCATGTTTACATTCCTTATTTGCAAGTGTACTAAATCATACTTGGTAATCACACCAAAAGTAGAAGGAATGAAGAAATCAGAGTTAGCCATCACCTCTACACCCAGAGTAAAGATCATCAACCAAACATAAGTTTTATTAAAGAACTTATTCTCCAACTTTATCAGCAATCAACATCTAATATAAAGTCCAGAGAGGCAATATTGGAAAACTTCATGATTCCAATATAGAGAAATAGAAAGAGGATAATGAGAAGAGGTACTAATAAAATGCCCAGGATTACCTGGGATTTACAGGTCCAAACCATTTGAAGTTATTATAAAATATTTAATTTTGCCACTATTTAGACATTCAGCATTCACATTTGTAAGTGACTTGGCACATCAGCCAAAAGATATATGGCCACATTATGATACAAGTCAAGGTTGTTTAAGAGCATTTTATGCAATATTTTTCAATCTACCAACCAGAAAAGGAATATGAGAAAAATCTAAAAGAACCAACTCTTCCAAAAGTCAAGAAAACACCAAAGTGAAGAATTACACCCCTACCAAAAAAAAGAGATTCTGAGCAGCTGATTTCCTGATACCTGCTATAGTGACATCAGTTCCACATGAGATTATTAAAATGCTGAGATATCAAAGATCATCAAAAGAAAAGGGTGCAGCAACCACTTGATCTTAAAATTCAGCAAAGATCACAGATCAAAGATCACACTGGAACCCCATGCAAAAAATAGGCAATGGTTTTCTCTTCTAGATTTCACCGAACCATTTTTGTGATTGATCTTGGGTGATGGCCTTCAGAACATGCTTTGATGGCACAGAAGGCACACACAATTTAAAGGTGTTATGATGAATTTGAAGGGAGAATTTAATTTCAAATGTATTGAGGATGAGCCACGAGGACAAACAAGAAGAAAAACTAATTGACAACATCACTG